CTGCTGCTGCTGCTGCGAGCTCCCCTGCTGCTGCCGCTGCTGCAGCATGGCCGCCCGGCAGCGCCGACGCGAAACTTGGGGGCGCCAGGCCCGTAACCGATATGACGCGGCTGCCTGCAGCAGCAGCAGCAGCAGCATAGCTAGTCCCGTTGTTGCAGCAGCAGCAAAGGCAGCAGCAGCAGGAGATGCTGCTCTCCAGGCGAGCGGCAAGCAACTAGCTAGCTGCGTGCAGCTGCAGCTTTCCTGGCTTGTCGATAGCTAGCTAGCTAGCTAGCTAGCGAGCTAGCTGGCTGCCCATTGTTCTACCCATTCAACCAGCTAGCTAGCTAGCTAGCCAGCCACCTAGCTTGCTTCCCAGCTACCCAGCTAGTCAGCTAGCCAGCTATCTACCCCGCTAGCCTGTCAGCCAGCTAGCCAGCTAGCTATCCAATAAGCTAGCCAGCTAGCCAGCTAGCTATCCAGTGAGCTAGCCAGCAAGCCAGCTAGCCAGCTAGCTAGCTAGCTAGCTATTCTGAGGGCTCACCAGCATGCACAAGGCTGTGAGGGTGGGCGGCCACGAGTCTCTCTGCTGCTGTTTGTCCCTGCAGCAGCTGGGGCCCCTTTGCTTCAGTTTGCTGCTGCGCTGCTGCTTCCAAAGGGACCTTTTCTACTGGTGCTGCTTCTCCAGTGAAGTCCGCCTGGTCCACCACAGCTGAGCCCCGCAGCAGCAGCACATCTGCGGGGCACGCAGCGCCCTGCTGCAGCAGCACCACGTCCCCTGAGCGCACAAAAGCAGCAGCAGCAGCAGCAGCTGTGGGTCCGTCACGCGCTGCGGCCCTCTACAGCGCAGCAAGAGCGGGGGGGCCCCCAGGGTTCTTGTCGCTGCAGGATCGCGGGGCCCCTAAGTGCTGCATGCGCTTCCTGGCAGCAAACCAGGCTGCAGCACCAGCAGCAGCAGCAGCAGCAGCAGCAGCGCCCCCTCCCCTGTGGCGTGCAGCTAGCTCGCTCAGCAGCGAGCTGCTGTCCAGCCACCCAGCTAGTCAGCCAGCTAGCCAGCCAGCTAGCCAGCTAGCTAGCCAGCCAGCTAGCCAGCCACCCAGTTACGCAGCTAGCCAGCCAGCCAGCCAGCCAGCTAGCTAGCTAGCTAGCTAGTTGCAGCTGCTCACCCGGAACCAGTCCCGCAGAGGAGATCTTGGCGACGGACTTGCTGCGGAGGACAAAGACCTGCTGCCCGTTTGCTGCCAGCAGCAGCTGGCGGACGTGCTGCTGGCTGCGGCGGGCCAAAAGGGCTTTCCGAATTGCTGCCAAGGCCCCCAGCAGCACCCACAGGGAAGAGGAAATGTAACTTCTCCAAAACAAAGAATTCAGCAGCAAAAAGACCTGCAGCAAATTCACGGGGTCCAGCAGCTCCCTACGCGCACACGCAACGCAGCAGCAGCAACACCTGCCTGCAGCAGTAGCAGCAGCACCGGCCTGCAGCAGCAGCAGCAGCGACCTGCAGCAGTAGCAGCAGCGACCTGCAGCAGCAGCAGCGGCGGCCTGCAGCAGCAGCAGCAGCGGCCTG